ACACACACACACACACACACACACACACACAGAGACACACGCGCACGCACACGCACACAGTACAGCAGTACCACCGATACTAAGCCACGGCCGCGCGCACAGCCAGGGTTAAGACGTGAGGTATAAATCAGCTGCCCTCCCTCCCTCCCTCACCCCCTTCCACTCCCCCTCGTAAGAAAATGCGGGTGAACAGCTGGACGCGACCCGCGATGCACAGAATTCCACAAACATTCCGCTCCGTCGGATTCTCGGCACATCCACTCCGCAGAAATTTGACGGAATGCGCCTGATCCGACTTTATCGTCCGCCGAACGACACCAGAGAGCAAACGAGGCAACACAGGTGGTCTTGTCTTGTTCCTGCCTAGAGCAGAGGCCTGGAGAGGGATCCCGGAAGGTCTATCCTTGTTCCTGCCAGAAGCAGAGGCCTGGAGAGGGATGCCGAAAGATCTAGGAAGACCTATCCTTGTTTCTTTCGGGATCAGAGGCCTTGCGAGGGAACCCAGAAGCTCCTGCCTTGCTCGTGATCCACGACCTGCTTCAGTGATCTGCACATGTGGTTGAACGGACCGCCGGGGATGACAGCTGCAAGCGAGAGAAGAAGAACACGGATTAACGCCATGTCACGACGCTAGACAACACACGCCAATCGAAATTCAAGTGTTGAATCGACTACAAGAGGGCGCCACATTGAGAATAAGAGATAATCGGGGCATTATTGCAATACACTAGTTAATTAAGTAGTTCTACATAGTCCTATCACGGGTGCATATACAGATATCTTGAAAGTTCATAGTCGGATTTCTTTTAACACATTAATAACATCATTGTTCATGGTTAAATCCTTAAATTATTTACCTTGGAAGAAAATTCGGCCAACAAAATTTACGCACGAATTCAGAAGATGGCTGTCAGAACGACAGCTGAAACTGTCAAGGCCAATAATTTAAGGATTTAACCATGAACAATGATGTTATTAAGATATAGATAACATTATAGGGTATAGGGTATATATAATAGAGAACCCACTGTAGCTGTGCAGACACATCATTAGTATTTACAGAAAATAAACATAGAGCGAGTGTTCGAGGTGGATTCTCTCTGTCTTGTAACAGGCAACTACGGCTGGCGCGTGACGTGCACCGAAATCGCGAGCGAGACCTCTTATACACAGGTGTCTCACGCCGTCGCGCGGGTGCGGTTACCGTAGTGTGCTGCACACACGAAGCGAGCGATCGTTTATTACACGGAGGTGTCGGAGCGTGTGCCGTGCCCCGCGGTCGGCCCCGGTTACCTGTGGTGACGCACGAAGCGGAGACTGATTTCACCTCGGGGCGGCCTTTCTGTACACGGGTGCGGGCGTCTTGGGGTTGGTTCGCCGCGCGGCCGGGCGTTGCGGCGTACTGTGATATGACCGCACGAGAGCGAGCGACCTTTGTCATCCACAGGTGTGGCTCTGCGAGGATGACAGTCGAGCGTGCACTGGAGGAAAGAGGACGACAAGTGGGATATCGCTGGCCTCGGAAGCGGCTGCAGCCTGCTTTTCGCTCATGCGGGTCTGTCCCGCGTATCGGCGGGTGTGGGTACGCTGTGTTGTGGGTACGCACGAAGGGCGTGTGCGCGAATCGGCGGAAGGCCACTTCTTTCTCCATGTTAAACTCAAGGGTTTGAAAAGATGTGCGTACGCCGCTTTCGTTTGTTCGTCCTTGGGCTGGACTACCTGCGCTGCGTGTGTGTGAGTGTGAACCTGGTGTAAACCCTCTCACCGTTATCTCGTCTGCAACGAGCACAAACGCGACGCAGAAGGCTCCGGAGACTTAAGACCGCTATTTTGACAGGTCTTGCCGCGGGCCAGGTCTGGTTTCGAGACAGCGGCGCAGTGATTCAAAACAGCGCTCAGGAGGCTTCTTGATACGCTTACCTTGGCTGCACCGCAGCGAGCCAAGGGTTAGTGTCAGCGGGACGATGATAGTATATCACTCGTGGCCGATCTTGATGACGCGCTGACAATACGGCTATAAGAACTCGAGCGAGGAACTTGGACGCCTGCAGCGGCTCTCGACCCGAGTGCGCACCTTTATTGGACACAGGTCTGTCGCGTGCGCGAGAAGTGCGTCTTGCGGCGTATTTTGACTGACGCTGTGCTTGAACGGTAGCGTCCGTGACGTGATGGTTGCTCTCGTTCACTGTGGTGTGTGAGCACGAAGCTGAGGCGTTCAATGGCTGCTGTTACCGCAGAGCGGATCATTCTGTCATTTAGCACACAGGTGCGCCCGCGGGCATCGTGCGCGGCAGTTGAGGCGAGGAACAAACCAGAGAGCTTGTGTTACG